ACTCTGCTAGGTATAAAACAATATATTTTCTTTCCTTAAATAAAACTACAGAATTACCTAATATGATTAACATATATATATGTAATTAATGATTAAGAATAATACATATTTTTGTCCTCTCTCTTTTTTTGTTTAATTTTAAATTATTAAAATAAACTAAACATCACATTAAATATATAATAAAAAAGTTATTTTTTTTCTTATAGGTTATATTTTAAATTTTTTAAAACGACCATAAATAACTAAAAATAGTAAAATTCCACATTTAAAATTTTATGGTCAATGGTTTAACTTTGTTTTTTCCAAACAAGATACAAATTATCACAAATCGTACGAATATGAAGTATATTAGTAGATATTCATATTATAAATATGTTAATTTAAAAATTTCAGTGAAAATGTTTGAGGTTAGTAGATACAAGTTATAGTATTCAATAGATTTTTGTAGTTTCTTTTATTTTCTTTTTTTAATATATTTTACATTGTTTAGATAATTTAACTAATTAGTTTAAATATTTTTAATTTTTTCTCAACTTTTAATGTTTAAAAAATATTTTTTGGGATGATTTCAGATATTGGTTACAATCCAAACCAAACTGAATTGAGAAGATCAAATCGAATCCAATCCGATAATTAGTAAAATTAAAATAGGATTTATGAGAATAATACCAAAATCTAAAAATACGTCTCAATCAGACCAAACCGACGAAGTCTTAAACGTCCAGACCTATGATGATTTAAGATACCAACATTTTTATTCATCATTTTATAATCGATAAATATTGTATTGCAAAATGTTAAAAACCATTTAATGAATAAATATTAGTAGAAAATTTTTACCCCGCGCATGCACGCGAGTTATCATGTAGTTGATATTATTTTGATGACTCTCGGCTTTGCCTATTGATTTTATAGTTTTAATCATTTTAGTTGATATCTATCTTAATTTATGTTATATTTATTATGTGAGCATTATATCTGTTTGTAAATTTATTGAAGTACAATTTTTTTTTTTTTTTAAACACTGAAGTACAACTTATCCGTTTTAATCTATATAAAAACAAAAATATATTGGAAAAGAAGACTAAAAATATACCAAAAACTAGAAAAGATGCGTAAACTATACATATATATTATCTTATAGTGTACATATATTTTCTAAATTTATTTATTATCGAGTCTTGTTTGTCATATATATTTTCATAGAATATTTATCTTTATATAAAATTAGGGTAGATCCGCCCTACGGACGGGATTTGATGAATCAATTTTAATAAAATCTATAACTTTATGTAAATTTCTATTTTATGTTAGATTGATTGTGAATATGATTTTGTTGTCTAGAATAAATTTCAACTATATAACTAAAATTATTGAATTCTTAGTATTTTGTTCTTGTAATCCTAAACTGTAAAGTTTTATAGTGTTCTCAGTTTTATAACACTATAAAATACATAAATCAATCGGATTTGGTCAAAAGAAGACGAGATCCATATTTCCAATACCATTGTATTCTTTTTTTGAGAGGATTCTTTGTCAAAGTTATTGTAGTTGTTTTATAGAATGTTAATAACTGATATCATCAACAATTGAGGTTGATTTTGAGAACTTTTTTTCATAAATTATGATATGTTTTATTTATTTAAAATAAGAAATTAAATATAAATTAAATATTTATTTAAAAGCAATTTATATATATTATAAAAATACTAAAATACATAAATATAGATAATAATATTGATTACCAAAATAATACAAATTCTTTAAAATTTTAAAGTTGTAAGTATATTTGCAAATCAAAACTATAAAATTTATCATCTGATAAATTATGACCAGGTCATGTGTCGCATTCTGGTGAGCCTATTTACTAACGTGGAAGTTTCAGTATTGAGAAAAACTTTTTTTTTTATATAAATATATTAAATTATTATTAAGTTTCATCTTAATTTGTAAACAGTATTTTAAAATATATTTATTATTCAGTTTTGTTACTTTTATTAAAGGTCACATGTTTATCTAAATATATTCATTTTTATTAAAGTTTCATAAATATATTCATTTTTATTATGTAATTTTTTTTACATTTTCCAATACTTATATTATTCTTATAATTTGCTACATACGGGATTTGTCTATAAGAATGATTATGTGTTTGTATTTTGTTTTCTGCAGCATATATTTTGTATATAAATTTATTTGTTGTAAAATATAAGTCATTAGGCAGAGTTAAGCATTAAACTCAAGACCATTGTAACAACGGCTACGAAAAACATAGCAAATTCCAGATGAGGAGAACATTTTTTTTAAATAACACTAATGCCTAAGCCTAAGCATTATTCAAAGAGGAAACCTGACTTGAAAATTCACATTTAAAAAAAAAACAAAATTAATGCCTAAGCATTATTGAAAGAGGAAAACTGACTCAAGAAACTCCCTCATGTTCACTTAAGATTTTCGTGCCTTCTTAACGAATTCGAAGTTGTTGAAAGGCAACGCTCCATGGTGGAAGGACCACTGGAGAATGTTCTTGCAGATGAGATTTTCACACGTTCTTTATCATCGTCACCATCCTGATTAAAGAGAATCACATATCATTACTTTCTTTCTACGAAAGGACCAATATGAGATAAATGTGACATTTTATGTTGGAAGACAAATTTATGCAGTGGCAGACAGTCATGTGGGAGATAGTAAAAGTCTGATGGTTGGAAATGAGGTTGTACATGCCTATACTGCCCTGGAAGCTGTATGTATAACCAACTATGTCCACGATAAAAGGAGGTGGCTGAGTCTCTTCTATGTTAACTCTCTTTCCAGCCTCTGAGTTAAATGTTTTAGTTGCAAAGATATGTGATAACATATGAAACCGGTTAAATGATGTTACATACCATTAAATGAGCAGTTTTATAGGCGTGATGTTATGTAGTTTCATCATCTCTCCATCAAAAGCCACAAATAGACCCTCATCCGTATAGTCAGTAATATTTAGCTCCACCTAGTACCTTGTATAAATTGTATGAAAACATGTTGATTGTTTAACAGAATTAAAAACTTTATTAAATTTCATAAATTAGTTTAAAGACGATGGAGATATGTAAAGCAGTTAATCGGAGAAATTACTCAGACATTAAAAAAGATATCAACATAAAGAAAGACTTAGCAATCATCAAAAGCTGGGGAAAGGCTCAGCCAAAATCCTATAACAGAAACTTCAAAACATGATGAAAAATTATTATCTGGATTCAAGGAGGCAGAGATGTGTATAGGATCTAACAGAAGATATTACTTACACTATGAACTAAAATCGGAGTTTAAGATAAAACCTGAGAGTCAAGAAGGAGCATGTCGACTCCCACGAGATCTCCACCACGACGTACATTCTTGGACTCCCAGAAACGGAGAAACTTGAATGGTAGAGGAAGAGCGGCCAATCTGTAAATCGGAGAAGAAGACCAAATTGTTATCAATAACTCAGATTTTTTTGTTTGTTGCTTAGTTTAGAATAGATGAGAGGATGATTCTAAAAGCATGAACTTATACTTTTTTATAGTCGAACGCCACCGCCTTACAGTTTCAAGAGCCGAATTGAATATAGATCGTGAGTGGTCAATTAATAGAGGGTTTTATGAGAGCAAGTCGGTTACTGTTACCATCTCACACCAGAAGAAAGAAAATGAAAGATCGGTTGCGAGATGAGGGAAGAGAGACGAGGAGATGCACACACAGCAAACCCTAATAAAAACATAGTGTTTCTTTTGTGGATCTATCTTAAAATATATGGGCTCAAATCGTTATACCTTCATGAAAAATGGACACGTATCGACCTCTGGTAATATTATTTTCTGACGTGTCTTTTTGAAAAGGAAGATAAAATATATTTTATAGCAATAGATATATATAAAATACATTACCACAAATTCATGAACAGACATAATTATAAATAGACCTAATATGAATCATTAGTAAAACAAAAGTCAAAAGATAATTTATGTTCGACAATACAACTAGTCAAAAATTTATTTTAAAAATTTTCTTCATTAATATTCATTATAACTGAATAGTTCTATAATAAATTTTGAAAAAACTAAAATTTTAAAGGTATTATGCGTTACTTAGAACTATAAATTATAATCGTTATACGGCATTATGTTAGGATGGAAGCTAAATATATGTTAATCTTGAAGGTATTATACATTACAAATATATATATATATATATATATATATATATATATATATATATATATATATATATATATATATATATATATATATATATATGCAAGTACTAAAACTTGTTGTCAATTACTATGGTAGAATTTGTATAACATCAGCATACAGCATTCGACATGGATAAATCTATAAAATTAGTTCTTATTATTTACAGGAAATGTAATAGCATGTTTGTATGTTTTCAAACTACAAGTCTTCTTCATTTTATTGCTTTTGTCCCAAAACGAAATTTTTTTTCCTCCAGTATTGAACATTATTTTTGCGTGGTCAACGTCCCACCAGCCAATTCCACTTTGGATTTGAAACTAACTTGTATCTTTTATTGATTAGAATTTTCTTTGTAGAGTATAACTCTCCCTGTATTTCCAGCAAAAACAAATCTTTTTTTTTGATAAACCAACAAAAACAAATCTTATGATGATAAAATTAGTCATTAAAGTTCCAAATCAAACAAGTACGAAGAACGAAAGAAAGAACAAAAGTATGGAACCAATAGTTAATGTGGAAAAAAATCACAAAATGTTGTCAGTTATTCTCAAATTCCATCTGGCAACTTCTGCTTGACTCTAATTCAACGTGGGGGGTACACCGCGTGTAAACTTAAGACTTTGAAAAGTTAAACAAATAGTATAATTTTATAAACATGAATGAACTGATTACAAAAAAGAGAGAAAGAAGAAGTTTCTATCGAATAGGTTCTTTCACTGACCACCACCTCTCCCTATATAAACCCAATGCTTAGCCAACCTTCTTCACACACCTAAACAAAATTTTCTCTCTTACTTTTTTCTCTCTCTCGCAGACATTAATAAAAGAAGAGAATGTGTCAACTAAATCGTGTCAGAAACGAAGTAACAATACCCTTACTCCCAAAAATACCTCATCACGAGAAACTGCATGTACTTAAAAATTACACTGCTTCCTTTTCCCTCTTCGCAAATGAAGCAATCTCAATAGCAAGAATCTCTCTCCCATTGGTGTTCACAGGTCTCCTCCTTTACTTCCGCTCCTTCGTCTCTCTGTTTTTCCTAGGCCGTCTCGGTGACCACACACTCGCTGGCGGCTCCCTGGCCCTTGCATTCGCCAACATAACCGGTTACTCTCTCTTCTCCGGTTTAACCATGGGAGTTGAATCAATCTGCTCTCAAGCTTTCGGTGCAAAACGCTATAGCCTCGTGATGGCTACGATCCGGCGAGGAATCATTCTCCTCCTCTTCACATCTCTCCCTGTTTTTCTTCTCTGGGTCAACATCGACAAGATTCTTAAAACGTTGAAACATGACGAGGATCTCGCGTCCGAAGCTCACACCTTTCTGCTTTACTCTGTTCCTGATCTCATCGCTCAATCTTTCTTACACCCATTAAGAGTTTATCTCAGAACACAGTCAAAGACTCTCCCTTTATCAATCTGCACGGCGGTCGCGAGTGTTCTCCACTTGCCAATCACGTTCTTCCTCGTGTCGTATCTTGGTTTGGGCATTAAAGGTATCGCCCTGAGTGGGGTTGTATCGAACTTCAACCTTGTCGTTTTTCTCTTCATCTACATCGCCTTATTTGAAGAAAAGCTAAGCAACGTCGACGAGGAAGGTGAGGTTTCAGAGGAGTCGTGTGAAGATAGTGTGAGAGAATGGAGGAAACTACTCGGTCTGGCCATACCGAGTTGCGTGTCGGTTTGTCTCGAATGGTGGTGCTATGAGATCATGATTGTGCTCTGTGGGTTACTTATAAACCCTAAAGCAACCATTGCTTCAATGGGGATTCTCATCCAAATCACTTCTCTTGTCTACATTTTCCCTAACTCCTTGAGCTTCGGAGTTTCGACTCGGGTCGGAAACGAGCTGGGTTCGAACCAGCCACAGAGAGCGAGAAGAGCTGCTATTGTTGGACTCGGTCTCAGTATCGCTCTAGGGTTTACGGCTTTCACGTTCACCTTCTCAGTCAGAAACATGTGGGCGAGGCTTTTCACGGATGATGAGGAAATCATTAAGTTAACTTTGATGGTTCTGCCAATTGTTGGCCTTTGCGAGCTTGGGAACTGCCCTCAGACCACGGGGTGCGGCGTCCTCAGAGGCTCAGCGAGGCCGAGGATCGGAGCTAACATTAATTTGGCTGCGTTTTATGTGGTTGGGATGCCAATGGGAATTGTTATCACGTTTTGGTTTGGGTTTGGATTCAAGGGACTTTGGCTTGGGATGCTCGCGGCGCAGATAGCGTGTGTGATTGGTATGATGGTGGTGACGTGTAGGACTAATTGGCAATTGGAGGCGGCAAGGGCTAGAGAGCTCACGGCACTGGATTGTGTAAGAGGTAGCGACGACAAAGACGTGGAGGTTGGGAAGGTTGATTATTAGGAAGGAATGAGTCAAAGGAGGTCTTTAGGATAGAAGACTGTTTTATTTTTTAACTTTCATTAGGATTAGTTGATTAATTTTTTTCTCTAATTTGAAGGATACATCTGTTATTTGATCTTGCTACATAAATATTCCGGTTTAACATAATACGAAATATAGATTCGTATCCACTAAAAAAATAGTAAATTAATTTGTAGGAATATCCCTTTTTAAGCATTCAAAGGGCACTGTCTCTACAAAAGAACCAAAGTAAACTCACTTGAGACACTTCAAAAGGTTCCATATTAATTAATCTATTAGTACTTCTCACGAAATCACTGTCTTCAGTAACAACTCACTTATGTATTATAATTTCATTTCTATTATATTTAGTATTGTTTGCATTTACGCTATACACTAAACAAATTGTCGATGTTCTGTTCAAGCTTACTAAGTTTTACTTTTCAGGTTAAACTTATCATTTTTCTTTTAAACTTATCATTTGGTGGTCGCCATTTGCCGATCTATGCTATTAAAATAGAAATATAAAATATAATTTACCAAATTTTAAATATTTTATTAAAATATTTTTTTTATTCATTTTAACTACTTCGTTAATTATCTTTACTATAATAATTAAGTAATTATTTATTAATTTTCGTGTTATATTACAGATTTTATCATTAAGATATTAATTATTCTTATAGTTAAACATTAATATATTTTGTCTTTTTAAAAAAGTTAAAACTACCTGTTTTATTCTAGCCAATTAATACATCGATTATTCACTAACAGTTTTATATTTTATTCAAACTAATTTATATAAATAATTATTTTAATTAATTGATATTATATTGAATGACATTATATATTTTCTTTGGAAGACAATCCAATATGCTTACATGTCTAAAATATAGAGAACCAACTCAGCACATAATCTCAAATATAAATTTATAAATACTCATAATAATAATATTTATCTTTACATTATAATACAGGTACTTATTTTTATATTTCATGTCTCACTTCTTAATACTTTTTAAATCTAGATATGTATTACTTATGAAGATATATTAATCATTCAAATAACAATATAATTAGTGAAAATCATATGTAACTATAATAAGGCATTTATCGGTTTTCCTTTCAAATTTACTAAATTAATGGATTAACTTATTTTATTTTCATAAGTATGAAATTATATTCCTATAAGCTATAAAATATAAATTAATTTGTTAATATAATTTTTGCATAAAATCTTAATAAAAATCTAAACCATGAATATATGATAAAAAAAATATAGATGATATAGTTGATTGTCCAAAAACTTTACGCAATATAAACTATAAAATTATTATATTTTAAAATAATATATTAAACAATTATTTAAAATGTAGTATTAAAATATATATACCATTAATAATATAAAGTAAATATTAATTTACAGAAAAACAAAACAAATTTGCACGGATATGCAAATCAATTCTAGTTTTGTATTATATGTCATACACGACAAACAATAATTGCAAAAGATTCTTTCGCCAAATTTAGCCATTTCAATTCATTACAATTCTACACGACATGTGGTATATATATTCCTGTTATAAGAAAAGTAACATTTTTCAAAACTTATAATTATGAATATTTGAAAGTTGTTTTCGTTTTGTGCAGAAAAACTAATACTAGAATACTTTTAGACAAATATGCAAGAATTGAGCTCAACAATAGAAAAAAAAAGAAGTAAATGAGAATTTAGAAAAGAAAAGAATTCATTCAAAAAAAAGAGAATTAGAAAATAAATGAGTCATTGGTGATGGTAAAATTAATGAGTTATTTCATGTGTCATTTGTTTTAGTAAAACAAAAATATTTTCTTCATTTTAAAATGACTGTTTATAGGATCTTTTTTCATAAAGAGTATTATTCTATATTTGCAATGCCAATTTTTAAATAATATTCAAATTTTAACCTTATTACCCTAATTTATTAATTAGAGAGATAGAACATTTATTAATGTATTAATGATGGACAAAATATTTTTAATAGCTTTACAATTTTGTGTGATAATGTCAAATGACATTCTTTGCGAATCAGTAGATTACAAAACTAATTTGAAGGAGCCAATTTTACAGTTTATTCAGTTTTTCGTGTATCTTTGAATTTTATAAAATAGACTTATACTATGACGTTAACAAAAGTTTCTCAAAAAGACTGAGCAAAGAAACAACCATAGTTTGTCATTCATATGGATGCAAAGCTAACGGCTTGGTTCACAGAATCTTCAAGATTTTGGATATATTGATAAAAAAAAGGACTATAAATAAAAAAACTTAGAAATGAACTATCCCTTAAATATTATGTGAGAAGTATTGTAACATGTTTAACATGTTGATGTGTTATTAATAGAAGGATTCTTAGATTCCTTATAAAAATAACTTTAAATTACTAAAGCACTCACAATATATGTCATTCATTTTTTTGGTCAAAAATTTAAACATATACTATATTTATCATCAAACTAACCATTAAAGAAATTAATAATATACAAAAATGTCATTCTTTCCTTAAATAAAGGCACATAATTCACTAATATGATTTAAAATATATATGATAATTATTGATATTTAATTACAAAGATTTGATAACAATTTGTAGACCTTGGACAATTTTCCCGTAACTAAAGAACCAGAACTTACCCAAAAAACCAGTTTCGGTTGGGTAAATGTAATGTCATTTTACTCCATTGTGTCTCATTATAGAGGTTTCGACCCGAACCGAACCCTAGATCCAATGGGATAAAAATGAACCCAGATTTTAATAATCCCACCCTAATATCTACTTCAAGTATATGATAAGTTTAGGGTGTAAATTATAGTATAGTGTAAAATAAACCTGAATTACCCAAAATTTATAAAATATATCTGAAAATTACAAAGTAACCAAGCCAAAAATATGAAATGACCTGAAAAAGTGCTTGAAAGAGCCAATAACTACAAAGAACCAACCAGAAAACATGAAAACACCCAAAATACCTAAAATATCGCAAATTAAAAAGAATCTGATACCAAAACATTGAAAAGACCCAAAAACCGAACTGTAATCGTTTGTGTCCAAATTTTATGAATCTTTTACAGGTAAAGAAACTGTCTACCCAAACCAATCCGAACCCAAGAGGACCCCGACCCGGAACCGACCTGAAATTTTATAAGTATCCAGTTGGGTCCAAATGTTCTAGGGCCCAAAGGAACCGAATCCAAAAAGACCAGATCCAAGTACCGGAATGCCCATACCTAACAGTTTGTTATCCTATATATTTTTGTTTAGTTTTGTATTACTAAAATAAATTAAACAATAACATTAACTATATAATAAAAACTTATATTTTTTTTTAGAAATGCTGTATATACTGAATTTTTAAAACTGATTATAAATTACTAAAATGTTTAAAAAAATCCATACTGAATATTTTATGATCAATGATACAAATATTAATTATAAAAATACAAAATCTCATAAAATCATGTGAGAAGGAAGACACAATTAATTGATATCTAATATATATATATTATTGTAATTAAATTACACAGTATAAAAATCCTAAATATTTTAATTTCAAAGGTATAAAAATATGTAGAATACCTGAAATGATGAAATGAAATATTTTAATTATATTAAATCATTAATATAAATTATCTATTTTTAATGTTTTACAAAAATCTTATTTATTACTAAATTTATTTATCTTTATATTCTATAATACAAGTACTTATCATTCTCTATATATTCTGTGTCTCACTTTTTAATATTTTTAAAAGTTAAAATATACATTATTTATAAACACATATAAATAATAGTCTAATTTGTGAAAACCATATATTTACTATACTAAGGTTTTCGCGGCCATTCCATCAAAGTTACTAAATTAATAGATGATTTTCCGCAATATCGTGAGATAATATCATTTAAATACATTTATAATAAATAAATTGTGCATATATTTATAATAATTTGATAAAGTAAATTTGTTGATAAAAATTGATAGGGAAAATTTAATTGGTTAATAATGAAAAAATACCATTAAATCTTATTTCATTATATTAATCATCTTAACACAAGTAATTCATAATTATATAAACAAACTATAAAGAGAAACTACCATATGATTTTGTTTTGGTTTTTGAAGCTAACTACCATATATGAGATGTAAAAAATCTATCTATATTTATGTTTGAAAATATTTTATTATAGTACTTGGATATATAATACAAGTTCATTTTTGAAATTTCAGCCATTATTAATTATTAAGTATAATTAGTTAGAGAAATTCTCTAGGATAGACCTAAAAATTTTGTGTCACAAATATAGACCTTAAAAATAAAAATGACCAAAATAGAATTGATTTTTTTTATCAAAAATAAGTAAATATGCACTTATACCCTTTGGGTTGACTAATCTTAGACCTTTTTGTTTAGAGTTGAAAACTGGGGGTTTTAGAGGTAGGATTTCAAATTTTTATTAAAAGAAAAAACTTAAAATTTTCAAAATAAAAAATGCTATTTTGGTTATTTTAGTTTTTCAGTTTTATCTTCGTGATAAAAAACTTAAAACTGTCCATTTGGGAGATTTGCCCATTTAGTTATGTACACAATTAATCAATACTATTATATTAATTTCAGAACATTCTGAAACACAATATAAGAGATCCACTAAAATTTTTCAAGACACTGGTATGCTTATTTGCTTTTATATTAAATATATTAGTTATAAATTAAGATTCTAATCAAGTATATCAATAAATTCAAATAACTTGAAAAACTTTGATATATATGATTTTGTTTGTCTTATAACTACATACTAGATGATAATCCGCGCCATGCGCGGAGTGAGTTTTTTAAAAATATGTTGTATTTAAAATACATATTTTGTTATCAATATTTTTTTTTGTATTTGATTAGGAATAGAATTTGGGTACCATTTAGTTCGATTAGAATCTGTTTGGTTTAGATCTTTGCAGTTTGGTTTGAACTGGGTGTAAGTTTGGATAACCCATTAAAATTTTTTTTCGAAAAAGATTAAAATTCATATATACTTTAATTTTTTCAAAATCTAAAAGCGAAAATAATATATAACATAAAAATTTGAAATATGAATGCCAAAATACGTAAACTTAACATAAAACTGGTTTATCTTAAATATTTGGACGTAAAATCAATAAATATTTCAAATATTTTTGGTATTTGGACTATCGTTTAGCTATTTTAAAAATGTACATTTAACTATTT